GAAAGAAGGGAAAGGGAAAATGATGAGAAATGGAAAAAATGGAAATAAAGTCTTTGTAAATAGGGAAGGGTGGAGGGGGTGAACAGAGGGCTAGGAATGGTGAAAAAATAAGAAACAAGATGCATTATGTAAAGGTACAATTCCCAATGAGACTGTAATTGTGTTATATACTTACAATGTACCAATAAAAGAATTTAATAAAGTGCATAAAAAAAAAGAAATCTAATTTTTAAAAAAAGAAAAAAAAATGGTGTTCAAAGATATATTCTCCAAAATTATTTTCTATTTGGAATAGATGTTTCCCTGTGGGAGACCAGATAGGAAAATTGGGGCCTCATTGATACCCTCAGTGAACACTAAGAAGAAAACCTGCATGCAAATGTGTTGACACACTGCAGGCAAAGTAAAAACAGCTGAGATCCATTTTTTGTGGACAGGTACCATGGAGGTGTGAGACAGATGAATTCTGTGCAACTCTTATTGCTTGTACCCATGACTAGGTGAATAAAGCCTAAGTGCACCAGTCAGTCAGGGCTCTCTGCCGAAAGGGGACAACAGCCCCCTGGCTCTTCACATTTTAACCTGATTCTGTGTCTCTTTACTTTTTGTCCTTGTCACCCCCTTGGTCAGGTTCAAGCTCATAGGCTGGTTCTTATATTTCCCAAATGGAAAGCTGTGATTTTTGTGACTAGAATTTTTTTCTGATAAAAGTATTTAAGAAAAAGCTTCTTTTTGAAGTTGAACTTCTGCTCAAAAGATAGATGAACACAGAGCCGGGCATGGTGGTGCATACCTGTAATCCTAGCAATCTGGAGGCTGAGGCAGGAGGATCACCATGAGTTCAAGGCCAGCCTGGAATACATAGTGAGTTCAAGGCCAGCCTGAACCATATAACAAGACCTTATCTAAAAAAAAATTTTTTTTAAAAAAATGGACGAATGTATGTATATACTAATCAAGAAAAAATATGTCTATATTTGGAGAGCTGGGGATGTAGCTCAGTGGTAGAGTGCTTGCCTGGCACTCAATACCCTAGGTTCAATCCCCTGTACCAAAAAAAAAATATGAATTTTATCTAAAACATTGTAAATTAAATTTTTCATTATTTGCAAGATGATCCATAAGGAGGAGGAGATGATCCATAAGGTGGAGGCTTTCTATGTGAGTATGATGGAGACACAGTGTTTGCATAGGAAACATCTCCACCCTGGGTCTTTCCACAGACTTAATAGAAAGAGGAATACTATTCAGCTCCTGAATACAAAAGGAAAGATCACAAAAATGCAAGGCCCTGACCACTTCTCACCTTGAGAGATGACACAATGTTGCCCAGTCTACCCACTGACATGAGTGTAGAGGTGACCTGAACTCTTTCCAGGAACCCTTCCCAGAACTGACAAAAAAATGGTCTGGAGCAGCATCCCATGAACTCCCTTAACAGTGATGTCACCTGTTTGAAAAGATATGTTCATTGCAAATATAAAATGATGACCTCTAGTACCAGCCCACAAGCACAGAGTTAATCTAAAGTGGTTAAATTCTTTGGAAGGAGCTGGATGTGGTGGTACATGACTGTAACCCCAGCACTCTTAAAGGCTAAGGCAGGAGGATCACAAATTCAAGCCCAGCCTGAGCAACTTAGTGACTTAATGATAACTGATCTTGAAATAAAAAATAAAAAAGGCCTGGGGATATAGCTCATTGCAAAGGCTATGGATTCAATCCACAGTTCATCATCATCAGGACCAGAGATTTAGCTCAGTGGTTCCTCTGCCTGCCTCACAGTTCATCATCATCATCATCATCATCATCATCATCATCATCATCATCATCATAACTCATTCTTTGGAAGGCATGAGATGGGGTCATCTTGACAAACCTCAGGTGGTTAGGTGGTTCAAAATAAATTACTGGTTCAAGTCCCCATCCAGAAACAAACATGGAGTCCAATACTTGGTTTATCTTTTTGGATTTTTCCCAACAATACTTCTCATGAGGGATCTCATTGAGCCTTATTCACAAGCAATCAGGAAGAAACTTACTGTGCTAATCTGGGGAGTCATCATGCAGTGAAAAACTGGACACCCATGGGTTGATTCTATGCAAAACTTTAGGTATTCGCACTCAAGCTCTCTGTGGTTTGTAACTTGCTAAACCTGAATTTTCTAAGTTTGTTGTATATGAGATGAAAAACTTATTTTCAGTGTGCCAAAAACACCTGAAATTTACTTATAAAGGTACTTCAGGAATTTTTAATTTAATGGGACATAAAACTACAACTGAAATAGATTACAAATGAACACACAATGTCTTGTATAAATTAGTTCTTTTTTTTTTTTTTTTGGTACTGGGGATTGAACTCGGGACCTTGCACTTGCGAGGCAGGCAGAGGAACCACTGAGCTAAATCCCCGGCCCTGTATAAATTAGTTCTTGTGGAAACGGGACAACATTATACATGATAGGAACTGTTTCATGTCAACTGTAGGGGCAGTTCTTTTAAGTCTCTGGGAATTCTTGATGTTATACAAATTTTACTTTTGGGCATTTTTAATTGGCTTTTCAAAAGTTAGACTAGTAAATCACTGAGTTAATGAATATTTATATTTAGTTAAGAATCCTATATGGGATTTTACTTTGTATGAAATTTTGAGATAGTGCTTGGTATTCCCCTGGAGGGAAGCTAGAATTTTGTTTTTCTTTTCAGGCAGTTAGGCTCCAGTGAAATTGACAAGGGGCTAGTCTGGACCCGCATATTCAGGAACCAAGTCCAGATGTTTTGCCAGAGGGTAGTAAAGAGAAACACATGTTATCACAGGGCAATATATAGCATAGCATATTAAAGTCTGTTACAGGGGAGGAAACTAATAGTTTTCCTTATAAGAGTAAGATAAAAAGAACGTAATTAAATCAGAAATATTAATATGACCTAAGGAAATGTTCTTTTACTCTGCCATGAAAGAAATTCTACTAGAGTTCATGTAAAACACTAAAATGTACATCCCTAGCATCCCATTTTGGTGTCTAATATTATTTTCACACTTCACTTCTGAGATGACTTTAATTCTTAAGTCCCTTCAGGGATACACCTGCCTTATCTTCCGACTGAGGTAAGCCCAAAACTCTCTAATCTTGGTTATGAATATGATCAAGCCCTTTTGACGTAAATTTATAAACAAATATGTCTTTCTTGAGAAGTAAACGAATCTAGCTAGCTGAAGGGGGAGATTTTTTAAAGAAAACTTTTCTTAAGTTTTATAGTATCTGTCTTAGATTCTAGTTTCCTGGACTCTGGGAGGTTGTTTGAGTCTATTTTCTTACAGTACATGTCTCATGAATAAAAATGAATTTCATTGTGTTAGAATCACTTAGGTTTATCAGAAAGCACAAGGGGCAACATGGATAAGTCAGAAAGAGAAAGTGGCTATGCTCCCAGCAAACACAGCTTTTGTACCTCCAGTAAGTCCCACTGAGACCTCTTTGGCATCATGAAACATACTTCATGATTTAGACTCATCATTTTTATTTAAGGAACTTCCCATTAGGAAAATATTTTAATTCTGCCACATAGAAATATACTTTGTGGGAAAACAACGAATAAGAATTTCCTCCTTTAAAAAAAAAGAATAAAAGCAATAATAATAATAAATTATAAGTATCACAGGTAGGAAGAAATAGCAAAAAATCAGGAAAATGTTATGAATATTATAAAAGTAACATAAGCAGAAAACACCAAGATAAAAGAAACTGGAAAGAAAAAAAATCCAAGATAAAGTGAAAAATAACACTATAAGAATTTTTTTTCAATTATAAAGTACTTTAAAGACATAGTACTTAAGAGTCGATGAAGAACCTCCTATATTAATTATCTAAATCTGAATAATAAACTGAAATAGTCCCTTTGGTGCATAGTAAAGTATGTAATTTTAATTATGAGATTTTTCTAGCTAATTTCTACGTCAAAAACAGTAAGTACTTCTGCTTACAAGGTGGCAGAGACAAGAACTTTTCTCAACCTCTCATATGCACGTTGTCATCAAAATTTAAATTACCCGAAACATGCCTTTTAGTTAAATTACAATTAGCCCTTAGACAGATCTATTTACTGAGAACCCACTATGTGCCAAACACTGTTGGCATATACTAAACAACAGTTTGCATTTGTAAAGCACTTTTTCCTTTTCAGAGTCTCACAAATGACATTTTAAAACAAACTATATTTGTTTTTCAGCATTAACTGCATGTGCTGAATACATCTATTATTATAAATTGTTCCTACTCAGGAAAATCTTATTTTAAAAGACTTCAAAATATACCCAGTTGTATTTGTGTATAGTACATATTTTATATCAGTTATGTGTGGAAGTCAATCAACCATGATAAATAATAACAGATTGCCTGACAAAATAAAACAACAATTTGGGAAGAGTGGAAATGGCACAGTTGTCAGAAGATGTCCACAAATAATTAATTACTTTAGCACATTAAAGATATTCTCTTAATATCAGAGACTCTTCTAAAGAGGATACTCATTACTTTCTAACCATCTGTCATCACTCCTCCCAAAAAAACTAATTAGGATTTCACATAATCACACATTATAAATGATGCAAATATGGATGGGAAAAATACAATTTAAATAAGTTAATATAGTAATATTTTGTTTAAAAAACCAAGGGCTTCAGAACTAGTCTTTTATGCTCTAATTATGAAAGTACTTATTTTCCTGGTAACTTATTAGATATTAAACTTTAAAATTAAATTTAAAACACACATAAACTTACAGGTAGTAGAGTTTTCCTGCAGCAGGAAGTTCCCTTTTCCGGTAATCTATCCCAGAATCTAGCTGGACAGTATGACAGTACTCCTACAATCCAAACATAGAAAATGTCTTTTTAAACAAGTAGTGGATCCAAATTGTAAGCTTTCTGCTATACAGTATTTTTTTAATTGATGAAATGTTTTAATGAAATAATATAATCAGCTTAGGACAAAACAATAGAACTCATGTAAGATTCATAAAACTGAATTTGCAACATTAAATATATACAAAGTCAACAAAATAACAGTTTTAAAAAACTAAGATTTGCATCATGCTTTCCTGAAACTTTACAAATTCCCCAAATAACTACCTTGGAGTTTTATTTTTAATATAGCCCAATTTCCATTACTCTGGAATGAGAAGCTGGAGGTTACAACTTATGAGTCTTGAGCACCACAGAGAGAATAACTCATGGGTCTTAAGCACCACAGTGGAAAAGAAGTCTGAGAGAACTGGGTCCTAATATTAGTGTCCCAATTTTAAAACAAACAAACAACTAAAATGATGCTATGGGTAGAGCTGCCCTTTACTTCTAAAAACTGCTGCCAATCCTGTCCTTTTGTTCTCTTTCTAGCAATCAATGTTTTTTGTGTCTTTTCCTGACATAGATGCCTCCTTTCAAAGCTGTATCACTAATGCCCTTTTCTTCTTACATAGGATCCATTCTTTTCATCCTCCACGGTACAAATGTGCATGCAAATAGACACCTCACACACTCTAAATTCTTACTACACAACCAACTGAACTTTCACTCTACCTGCCTTGATCAGGTGTATGGGGGGTGGTAGAGGAGGGAATGTATTAAGAGAGAGAGAGACAGAGACAGATACAGACAGACACAGACAGACAAGCATATGTAGATATTCTTTCCAGTAGAACAGTGACCCAGGGTTTTTAGGAGAAGTTTAGAAATATTTGTAGGCTTACTATTTAGTTTATATCCAAAGTAAAAATGCTTTATGAAAATTTATGAGTAAAAAAATTATATTGTAACAACATTGTGACTTTTATTAATAAAAAATTGCATTTTAAAAAATCTTTGGGGCCAAGTTAATGTGTCTGACAGTATTTTCCAAAGATAGCCACAATAATCTCTCCATCCTGTAACTCCTTGTTCTGGTACAGATAAAATTGGCAACTATGTCGCGTAAACAAAGTTTATGTCATCTTGTTCTCACAAGATTCACAAGACTCTGTCTTCTTTCAAAGTTATTAATTCCTTTTAATTGCTTTGTCTCACTTCTGTAACCTCACGTGCCTCCCCCAGTTTCTCATCTCTAGGAAGACCACACCCCTTCAACCAAATATATAAAACTAGACCCTGTCCTTTGTTCTAGGCTCAACCGTTGGACACAAGTCTTTTGGGCCAGTATTTACCTAAAACAAAATCCTCTTGCTTTCCAGTGACCTCTCTACTCTCTCAAAATCCCACAACAATGTAAATATTATAACCAAAAAGAAGTAGGGTCCAAGTTCTACCCTTGAATCTTGTGACTCAGTATCTGGAAATGATGGATGCTATGTGACATTTAAAACAATTTTTAACTTCTTGGCTGGTACCTCGGATCATGAACTTAATTTGTTCCACAATTCTGGAGAAGATGACCATGGTCATATTTATCACCCAATGGAGAGTTCATGAAGGGAATTGAACTTCCACCCGCCAAATGCTTTAGTTTATGAACTGAATTGTTCAAGAATACAAGCATTCATGAACCATGGTATTACTCAGAGTACTTCTGGTACACTGAAGTGCCTTGTAAGCATCCAACTGCCTAGAGGGCAAAATGCTATGAAAAAGCTTAAACTAGTCCATACACAGAAATGCGTTGGAGAGATCCTGAGATAATATGAAGACTATGGTTTGGACCAGTCACTTCCCAACCATTCCAGTTATAGCCACTATGATACTAACGGAGCTAGGACTGCCTGCTATGCTTGTCCCAACCCCCTAACCCACAGAAATGAGGACAGAAAATAAAGTAATACCATTTTAAGCCTCTCACATATAATGTGGCAACAGATCATGAGATGAGTAATATCTGGGCACACTGGAGAAGTACCAGCATTCTTCCTCCATGAAGCTGCCTTCTGGGTGGTACTGCTATAACAAAGGCTGAGGGCACATTATCACCTGTACTCTAAAGCAGTGAGGACAGCCGATGAGGAGCCTTCCAGGCTGCTTTGCCACTGCCCCCAGTGGAGAGGAGCAGAGCCGCCCCCACGCCGAGGAGGTGAGCCATGCGGGGGCCAGCAGCACACATCAGCCCCACCCCCATTGAAATGAGAAGACACGTAAACAAGTCTCAAAACCAGACTTTCATATCACCTAAAGCAACCCCAAAGGGAAATGAGATGGAACACTCTGATACTCAACCACCTGGACCCCCTGAACTGGCAAAAAAAGGGGATCTGGAAAAAATGAAATCAGAAATAATCTCTCAGATAACAGCAGAGATTGTGCCCCTAGTGCAAGACATGATTAATAAATCTAGAGAGGAGCTGAGGAAGATGATGGAATCTCAACACAGAAAACAAATGGAATCCATAAAACAGATGCAGATTTCCAGGAGATTAAAAAACTCCACTGAAAGTCTACACAGCAGAATAAGCCAATGTGAGGAAAGAATTTCAGGCACAGAAGATAAGAATGCAATTAGAGACCAAAAAAGAAAAATTTCTTCAAAATTGCAAGGGACCACAAGAAATCAATCCAGCAGCTGCTAGATGATGCAAAGAAGAATAACATAAGATGAAGAAACAGGAGAGAGTGCAGATGACATACAAAAACTGTTCACAGAAGTCATGGCAGAAAACTTCTCAAGCAGGGGAAAAGAACTTGACAAACAAATAAGGGAGGCATACAGGACTCCAACAAGCCTTGATTAAAAAAAAATCTACACATAGGCATATAACTGTTAAGATTCCAGAAACTCAAAAGAAGAACAAAGTTCTACAAGAAGGTAGAGAAAAGAAACAAATCACACACAAAGAAAAGCCCATCAGAATCACAGTAGACCTCTCAATGCAAACCCTCAAGGCAAGAAGAGGTTAGAGTGATGTATTTCAAGCCCTAAAGGAAAACAACCTACAACCCAGATTGATGTACCCCGCAAAACTATCTTT